CTCTGCCTCCCGAGTGCTGGGATTAAAGGCGTGCGCCACCACCGCCCGGCGTTAGTTGCTAACTCTTATGGAGCATTCATGTGAATGTGGATTTCTGGATTCCTTGGGCGTATACAGGAGTCTGGACACCCTGTTCTCTCAAGGTCACCAGAGGTCATGGCAGAATAGCTGCTGCTGGACCAGACATGGCTGTGAGTCTTTGAAGTCTCTGCTTCAGCCCTCTAAGCACGGGAGCATGCTGGACATGGAGGTCTCCAGCAGGGGTTCGTTCAGAAAAGAAAGGAGAAGCCATCAGAGGATTGGGGAACAAGAGGGTTCCATTTTGAACCACACTGATTTTGAGAATGTAAGAAACAACAAAAGAAAAGTTAAAAAAAAAAAAAAAACCTAAACTAAAAGAGCACAGAAAATAGATTTTTGTTGAGAGGATGTTAGAAATGACAGCCCCAAATCAAAGTTATGATTGTCCCACTGCCTTGCCATCCTGTACTGACACTATGCTTCAGCTAAAAAGTGATTACCACTCCATTTTTTTTTTTTTAGGATTCAAGACGGTAGACCAGGCTGGCCTTGAACTCAGAGATCCACCTACCTCTGCCTCCCAAGAACTGGGATGAAAAGCATGCACCACCACCACCCCCTCCCCCAGCCCCCTCCCCCGCTGATACCATTCAAATTTGAGTATTAACTAGATAGAAATTTGTATGGTGCCTAAGCTTCAATTTCACAAAAGTAATAAAAGGTAGTTACAGAATACAATGGTTATAAGCTACTTAATGTGACTTGCCAAGTGGAACAATGGAAAAGTTAAGAAAAATACCTCCTTGTGTGAACAAGCGCAGATGAGCCTATAAAAGTCTTACACGATCCTTTACACAAAGGCATGAACTCTTTTGACTATCAGTGCAATCGCCGGGGGTAACTTGCCCATGGCAGTCAATACCTCCTCACTCACCTTCATGAGAGCAACCTTGAACTCAGAGAGTCATACCCAAAACCTCCCAGACAACACGAACAACACCATAAAGTCACAAAAGCAGGAGCAGATCTCGTTGGACAGAGAAAGGATTCAGAGGGAGAAAGCACAAGTGGTGAAAACCACCAATGTACATGTGTATATGTGCATGAAATTGTCAAAAAATAAAACACTCCCCAAAAACCTTGACTGAAAAAAAAATACGTGACTAGCGGATTACTAAACAATAGAATTGAAGAGTAGACTCAAAGACGTCAGAAGAATAGACTGTCCCGTGGAACAGAAGCCATGTGCAAAAAAAAGAGGGAACCAGATGCAAAAGAAAAAACGTGACAGAACAGATTGAGAGGCCAGGAGGACAGCACTGTGGGGAACGCACAGGCATGAGAACAGACAGATCCACCTGAGGAGAAAAACTTAAATCCGTGAAGCAGAACCGTCAAAGAGACTTAACGCACTAGACACATCCCGAGTGTTCCCAAAGGAAGGCTTGAAATAAAGTCTGGCATCTGTAGATGAAAAGCCATACTGCACACTAGGGGAAATGACTCTCAGTTAATAAAGTTATTAGAACAAACAAAGCATGCCTGTGCGTTGCATTGAGCCTGAGAATTTCTCATTGGCATTCAGGAAAGATCCCTGATGATGCGTCTTGTAGCATTCGGGTACAGTACTGGTTGCTTCTTCCCTGGTAGGCACATGATTCTCAGTCCAGTTCTGTCAAATGCAGGGATGGATCTACCCTCTCTGCTGTGTGTGGAGCAGTTCCTGATCTTCAAGGATAAGAAGAGAGGACAAGCTGAAGAAGGAAAGACTGTTAGAAGGAAGCAAAAGAAAGTAGCATCAGATTGCTTGGTAGCATTGATCAGTGTCAGGTGATGATGTGAGGCCCGTATGAAAGTAAACATATCTTGGCATCATAAGTTTGCAGAGGAAGGCAACACCCCTTTCAGAAATGTGTGCTGATTAAAAAATCAAACCACAGGGGGAGTGAATTAAACTAAGAAGTTGGGAATGGAGAGTCGTGGTGAAAATGTAGTGATTAATGAATTTAAAGACAAATGTCATAGCCAGGGAAATGATGGTGGCGTGCTGGTATGTGCACCTACTGTCTTAGAAAGGGTTTGTTTGGCTTGCACTTCCATATCAGGTTCATCATCAAAGGAAGTCAGGACAGGAACTCAAACAGAGCAGGAACCTGGAGGCAGGAGCTGATGCAGAGGCCATGGAGGGTGCTGCTTACTGGCTTGTTCCCCATGGCTTGCTCAGCCTGCTTTCTTGTAGAACCCAGGACCACCAGCCCAGGGGTGGCACCACCCACAATGGGCTGGGCCCTTCACCATTGTTAAGAAAATGCCCCACAGGCTTGTCGACAACCCAGTCTTACAGAGGCATTTTCTCAATTGAGGCTCCCTTCTCTCAGATAACTCTAGCTTGTGTCAGGTTGACATAAAAGTAGCCAATACAACTGATCCCTTGTCAAGTTGACACACAAATACACCACTCTTCAATTAGAAGTTTTCCTTTCCCCAAGATGGCATGTTAATGTTGATATCATAATACAAAACATAAATAACTTTAAAAGTACTGCAGTCCTCACAAATTCAAACACATTAAAACTTAAGTCTCCTTAAAATACCCAGTCTCCAAAAATCCAAAATCTCTTTTTAAAGTTCAAAGTCTTTCAGCTGTGGACTCCTATAAAAAAATCAAAATTAAATACCTCCTCACTTCAAGAGGGAAGAACCAGGGCCCAGTCACAATCTGAACGAAGCAAAACCAAATTCCAACAGTGTAAATAGCTAGCATCCAGTTATCTGGGATTCACTCACCATCTTCTGGACTCTTCCAAAGGACTTGGTCGCTTCTCCAACTTGCCCTCTGCAATACACACAGTTGTCTTCTAAGCTAGGGCAGGCTCCACTCCACTGCTGCTGCTGTTCTTGGTGGTCATCCCATGGTCCTGGCATCTCCAAAGTGCTGGGTCTTCTGCTGGAACTGGTCTGCATTTTCACCAACAGCCTCTCCTAGGCTCTCTTCGTCATGCCAAACCTAAGCTGTTCTCCACGACCCCTCCATGCTTTCAAAACCAGTACCACCGGGGTGACTCTTACACTACCAAGTTCAGCTGCCAGGCGGAGGTCCAACCTTGGCTATCTCTGGAACACAGTTTCTGTGTGCTCACTCTCAAAAAACACTTCCCAGAAGGTTTCACCTCAATGATGTTGGTCTGTTGATCACTGCTAACTTCTCAGCATCCACTGTCCCAGTGTAGGAAAGGTTTTGCTTTAGTGGTCCTGGTCTCTTGTTAATCACTGCCGATTCTTCAGCCCCAGCTGACCAGAACCACGGATTCGGCACACAAAGGGCCTGGTAGAGTCTGCTTCCCTCTGAAAAGTCACAAGCCAGGTCTCCATTGTCTGCACTGCTCTCAACATTCTTATCTCCTAAGCTTTGACAGAACAGTGAGCTCTCAACACTCAATGGGGTTTCTAGCCCACAGGTCCAAAGTCCTTCCATAATCCTACCCCAACTAACATGGTCAGGTCTGTCACAGCTGTCCTGGTACCAACTTGTCTTAGGGTTTCCATTGCTGTGATGAAACACCATGACCAAAAGCAAATTGGTGCCACCTCATTCGAATCAACCTGGGAACGTTTGCCTTTCCTTAGATGTTAAGGCCATGTGCTTAATTAAGCTCACTGGAACCCAGGCTCAGCTTCCTTACCGATTTTCCCCATCTTCTTCCAAAATGGAAATGAATGGTGACTGCCAGAGACCCCTGGCTCCAGGATGCTCCGGGCCTCAAGGGAAGCAGGCAGCCAGCCCCGTGGGGTGTTCCGGATCTGAGTGCGTGCCCCACGCCCCCGCCGGATGTCAGTGGAAGCAAGGCCTCCTGATCAGCACCCACAGTTGGGAGGGCCCTCAGCAGCTGCAGTCCGCCGTTTGCTCTTGTCTCTGGCCTGAATCGAGGGAAATTGATGGAGTGTTTGCCTTCTCCCTCCTGTCTCTTCTATTCACAGACCTTTCCTTTGCCATCTCTCTTTGGACAGGTGGAAAATTCTGGTGACCCCTGGCTCAAGGGTAGAAATTCACAGTCTATGTCCTACTTCGAGTCCATTTATCTGGTGACGGCAACCATGTCAACTGTTGGCTTTGGGGATGTGGTGGCCAAGACCTCCCTAGGACGGACTTTCATCGTTTTCTTCACCCTCGGAAGTTTGGTGAGGAGTATTTTTATTATCTCTTGACTCTACAAATAAAAGCATTCGGTTAATGGGGAGGAGACAATATAGATTTGAAGGTGAATGTTGCTTTATTCAGTGTATGTGAAAATGAAAAGATACACAGATTCCACCTTTTCCAAACCGTGTGCCCTGGAACCTGGGGTGCAGCTCCTTGGTTTCCGGGGGTGAAAGGAAGTCGAGTCTACATTGAATCAAGCAAGTGCGTTTTCCTCCATTTTTCCCCCCATCAGACTAAAATCTTCTCCTGAAGAGGAAGATCTCTCTCAAATGACAACCGCTCACTACACCAGTAATTAGTTCCAGGGAATGTCCAGATAAACTAGTATTTATGCTTGGTTCAAGGGACTGGTGAGGGCCTAAGAATCCTCATTTCTTACTTCTTATTTCAGTCTCTTAAAAAGCCACAACCATGTGCTCCGCTCCACCATTTTTATATTGCCATGACCAGGGCCACCTTCCGATGCTCCAGTCATCGTCTCTGGTCCCTCCAGTGTCATATGTGAAGTTTTGGGGTCTTTTTAGATTTATTTACTTACGTACACTATGTTCTGCCTGCATGTATGCCTGCAAGCCAGAAGAGGGCGCCAGATCTCTTTACAGATGGTTGTGGGTGCTGGGAATTAAACTGGGGCCCTTGGAAGATCAACCCCTGCTCTTAACTGCTGAGCCAGCTCTCCAGCCCTTGTTTTGTTTTGTTTTTAACAGTCCAGCGTGAAATCAGAATCAGAAAGAAGTTAGAAACCATCAAGGGACAAATTTGTAGAGAAGTTGTCTGATATTTGTGTTTATCATTTTGAAACAATACCAATTTGTTAATTTTAATCAAAATTCTAATTCTCAAAAGACTGGGGGAAATATAATCTCTCTTTTAAATGCAGCTCACTGTTAATAGCCTTCTGCTAAATCAGTGGTTCTCAACCTGTGGGTTATGACCCCTTTGACAAATCTCTAGCTCCAAAAATACTTAGGTACATTACAATTCATCACAGTGACAAAAATGACAGTTATGAAGTCGCAGGGAAAATAATCTTACGGCTGGGGTCGCCACAACACGAACTGTATTAAAGGGTCGCAGCGTTAGGGAGGTTGAGATCCACTGTGCTGGACGAAAGCCATTCATGTGTTCTTGTCTTTTTCTTTATAGCCTTGTAATTTGGGAATGTCTGTCCAAGTAAGGAGCCCTGAGGAACTTTTCTTCTCACTTGTTATTTTAGATACTGTTTGCGAACTACATCCCGGAAATGGTGGAGCTCTTTACCAACAGGAGGAAATACACCAAGCCCTATGAAGCCATTAAAGGAAAGAAGTAATTAGCTCTTCCTACAGTTCCTACAGTCTACGGTGTCCCGTTGGCCACGGGTATTGTTCTAGACGCACACTGCCTGTCAAGGCTGCAGACCCGAGGGCCCGCCATGCCAAAGGTTTTCATTCACCGAAGAGAATCCTGTTAGAAGGAATGCCATATAAACAGGATGTTCACTACTTGTTACAAATTGCTGAGAGAGCTATTCATAAGAGTGTTTAATCAACTTCTATCAACCTGGATAAGAGAGAGAGGGGAGAGAGACAGAGAGTCCCCCCAAAATAATGACACTTGTGAATAGCAGAGTTTTGCAAGTATAGGAGGTAGTAAGTCTATTATGTGATAAATAATTGTGACAATTATAACCATAATGGTAGCTTTCCCAGAAATCTTTGTATAATGCAGTTGTTTGGAGACATGCATGTTTTTTTTTGTTGTTGTTTGTTTGTTTGTCTTTTGTTTTTTTGTTTTGGTTTGGGTTTTGGTTTTTTTCGAGACAGGGTTTCTCTGTGTTGTTTTGGTGCCTGGCCTGGAACTCGCTCTGTAGACCAGGCTGGCCTTGAACTCACAGAAATCCGCCTCCTGAATGCTGGGATTAAAGATGTGGGTCACCACTGCCTGGAATACATGCATGTTTTGAGATGAGGCAAAAGCCCATAGAACTGGAGGCTTCCAGTGCTTTGAACTCCTTCGTGTTTATGTTGCTAAATTCTAAAGGATTCATAGACAAAACTTACTGAAAACAATTTAAGCTAATTGCCCTTCTATCATCTTGACAGGAAGATACAGTCAGATCTATCAGATTCTGGGGGTCCAATCAGCCTCAGATAGACAATATTTAAAAACAATTTGCATCAGTACTGAACTTGCATCGATTGCTTTCCTTTTCATTATTCCATGAACAACACACCGTGACAACTATTCATATAACATTTACATTGCATTTGATTTTACAAGTAGCCTAGAGATGACTTCAGGTAGGCCAGGGGACGTGTGTAGGTCACACGCACGTTTATGCATTTTAAATGAGGACATGGAGCATCTATAGATTTTGACCATTTGTGTGTGGGTGGGGGGCGCAGTTCTTGGAGTCCATTCCCTCAGATACCATGGGAGAGCGGTCCTTCTGTTCTTCAGATGCTCTTCTTCCCCTTTCTTGTTGCTTAGGTTCATCGTGGTCTGTGGAAACATCACGATTGACAGTGTAACTGCCTTTCTGAGGAATTTCCTCCGCCATAGGTCGGGAGAAATCAACACTGAGATTGTGTTCCTTGGAGAGTAAGTGCATCAGTGTGGCTTAGTCTGTTCTAAATGAATAGTTGGAATGTGTCTACATTTGTTGTTGCTGTTGTTTTTTGCTTTTCAAGACAGGGTTTCTCTGTGCAGCTTTGGAACCTGTCCTGGAACTCGCTCTGTAGACCAGGCTGGCCTCGAACTCACAGAGATCCACCTGCCTCTACCTCCCGAGTGTTGGGATTAAAGATGTGTGCCACGACTGTCCAGCTATGTGTGTGTGTGTGTGTGTGTGTGTGTGTGTGTGTGTGTGTGTGTGTGTTTAATGGAAGGAAATTACACTTGTAACATTTATAGAAATTTTAGGAAACAATAGTAAACAACAATAGAAAAAATAATCACTTCTCAGCCTTTCTGGAAAGATGAAGTGTAGAAAAAGAAAAGTAACTTCATGTCTAGACCTAACCAGTGCAAAAATTTTGGAGTCTATCTTTCCAGATATTTTTCTGAAATCTGGTCTGCCCTAAGAGCAGGCAGTGCCTTTAACCACTGTGCCATCTTTCCAGCCCTGAAATGCTGTATCCCTCTGAGTAATTGAATTGTTTGCATTGTTTGATTCATGGTCTCTCTATTGTTTCGGTTTTGTGCACTAGGGTTGCTCAGGCCTTATCTACAGATGCATTTGTAGATTGGGTTACTTGTGCCAACGTCCTCTAGCTATATGGATATATAATGGAATACAGATGGCTTCTGATGGAATTAGGGATTTAGTAAATGTACTAAGTCAGATAACCACCAAGCAGAGCCACGCTCTGGGTTTATCTTTGCCACTCAACTCTTTCATCTAGGGAGCCTCCGTCCTTGGAACTGGAGACCTTATTCAAGTGCAATTTGTCCTTCACGACATTCGTATGTGGCTCCGCACTGAAGTTCGAGGATCTGAAGCGAGTTTCAGTAAGATCTAACTCTCTCTGTTTGTCCCCTCCGTAAGCCGGGAATGAGAACGATGGGCTGGGTTGCTGCTTCCGAAGCTAGCAGTCCAAGTCTTTTGATGGGAGGAAAGCACAGCATCCACGGTTTTAAACATTGATCAGAAAAGAACACAACTGACTTCCAAGTCCTCCTTGGCTCACAGCAAGTGGACCTCAGTGTTGATCTATACCACTTTTAAATTCTTCTTCCATCGTACTCGCTATGAGATTTTATTCTGTTACTTAGGGGGTCTGGAAAAAGTTGTAGATAATAAGAGTGTGTGTTCTCTTATGTCTTTTGTTTTTAAAAATATTTAAATCAGGCCTGGAGAGATGGCTCAGAGGTTAAGAGCATTGGCTGCTCTTCCAGAGGTCCTGAGTTCAATTCCCAGCAACCACATGGTGGCTCACAGCCATCTGTAATGAGATCTGGCGCCCTCTTCTGGTCTGCAGGCATACATGCAGACAGAACACTGTATACATAATAAATAAATAAATCTTTAAAAAAATCTTTAAATCAGAAACATTTATTTGCACAGTATATGATGTCCTCTTCCCACGCCCTTTATTTTTATTTATTCCTGGAGAATTTTGTATATACATACTACTTGTTTTACCTATATTTGCTCCTCTCCCCATCTAGCTCCTTCTGGATTCCCACCCAACTTGACATCTCTCTCTGTCTCTCTCTGTCTCTCTCTCTGTCTCTCTCTCTGTCTCTCTCTCTGTCTCTCTCTCTCTCTCTCTCTCTCTCT